TGCGGGCTCGGGCCCGCCCTGCAATCACCGGGTGGCAGGAAGTGGAGCGACCTGGCTCCAACCTGCTATGCTCCACCGGCTCATGCTGGGGGGCGGTTTCCCCCCTGTCCCCCAAGCTCCAAGCCCTCTTCTGCCCCCCCACAGACCTTGGGCGCAGCCCTCCTCCCCACTGCAGAGGCCTGGGGATGCCCCCCCCCGCAGGCACCACAATGTCTAGGGATGGCCCTGGCTTCAGCATCAGGAAACTACTCACTTAAGATAACTGAAAAAAGTGATAATAGGGGGCAGAAGAGGAAGTTAGTAAATATTTACATCCAATGAGCTAAGTTTTCAGAGGGACACGCCAGGGGCTGACATGTGTCTCCACTATTTTATTTTCAGTGAACTGCATATTTGCAGAAGGTGTTGGAGCTGGCCATGGAGCAAGCTGCCAGAGGAGATCAGGCAAATCCAGAGTCTGGCCGTCGGCTGCGAAACCTTCCCCCCTTCAGAAATGCCTTTCCACCATAAAAGTGACCCTCACAACACTGACACCCCGTCTAACCTTCAACCCTGAGAAACCCACAGCATTTAAAGAGAAGAAATTCATAAAAGATAAATTAAACATGCAAACTGTACCCCAAGCAGAGTTTTGGCCTTGAAAATGGAGATGTGCCAGAGAGTCCATCAAGTTCACTAGGGACTTTGCTACAACAATCGATTTAATATGGAATGTGCTCAGATGTGGAGCAGTATGAGGCTGGCTTGAGAATTGAAACTTTCTGAGAGGCAATATGGCCTAACGGATAGAGCCGCGTACTCATGAGACCTGGGTGCAGCTTTGACACCGGTCTGCTGGATGACCTTGAGCAAGTCACTTGACAGCCCTGTGCCTCCGTTTCCCCACTTATAAGATGGGGATAATGATACTTACTAGGGCTGGGCAGAAAACAATCATTCCATTTACTGAAACATTTGGAGGTTTTGACCTTTTTGTTCCATTACAGAATGAAAATGAGCCTATTTGAAATTTTTCATTTAAAAAAAAAAAGAGAGAGAAAAAAGGAGACCCAGAAAAGCCAATAGCCTAGTCCTTCGGTCAATCACTTAGCAGACAGAGGACCCAAGTTCAAGTTCCCATATCACATTGAGTGCCCTAATCACTGGGCTATTTGGCTAGTCTATGGTGGCTTCTCTCTTTCTTTCCAGAAATTCTATCCTGGCCTGAGATACTGTTTCATCAGAAACTTTTCAGCCAGATCTCTCTTTTGAAAAGTGCTTTGAGGTCTACTGATGAAAAGGGATGAGAGATGTGTTATTATTACACCCCCTATTACAGATATAGTATGGACAGTAGCAAAACACGTTCTTGCTCGTTTCTATCCCCCACTACACACATGCTACTATGCCCTGAATTTGGACTACCTCAGGGACACGAGGGTAGGTCAGTCTCTATGGCCCATTCTCGTCCCTTGACTGCTCACCAGTTGTGATGGTGGTTTATAAATACGGACACCCACCTATATTAAGCTGAAACCAATGACTCTTCTCAGATGGTCCACAGGGGAGCCATCAGATGGCAAGAGCCTTTGTTCACTACTGAACAAGGCCAGACTGGAACTGGTGACCTGGGAGTAAAAGGCGCCATGTGCCAGCGTCAATCCCTAGTCCTCTTAGTCACCTAGTGCCTCTGCCCCGCCCACGTTGTTGATGACAATGGAAAATGAAACTTTTTAGAGCAGTCATATTTTTACACCAGCCATCTTTTTGCATTTTGAGACTGTGGCTTTGTCACCTGCTGTGCTGCTTCTGTTTCTGCTCAGTGATACAACAGCTGGATTTAAAGAAGGATCGTACTTAAACACCTCAGTGAACGTGGCAGACTGGGACCCAGCGGTTAGTGTCACAGGGACAACATATTCTTCATCCCCCTGGAAAACAGAGTTTAAAAAAAGAGCAGAGGTGAACATGTCATAGTAAAATACAAGTACCTCCTTCCCTTACATGCAAGATTAAGAGCATTAATGTCCTGACCTGAGCTTATCAGCTAGAGAAGCAACTGTAGAGCATAAGTAGAACCCAAGATGGGTCATTGCAAGGTGCTGACTAACGTGTATGGCCACCACTGCCCTCTGCTCAAGTGTGTGTGATTATGATGCCCAGTAGTGGGTGCCTTCAGAAAATATGAGCCATAACACTACTACAGTAGCCAGACAGTCTCCTTTAGCTCAAGTGATACGGACATATGTTGCTGGAGCCAAAGGTTTGCCATTCTAGTCTCACTTCTGTTTGTGTGAAGCTTAACTACTGAGCCTGGTGTTTGCAGCCATTGATTTGGAACAGCACTTAACGACTTGGACACATATAGCCTGCAAGCAGTCTACCGGTGATGAACATATAGATACAAGAGAAAGGGCCACATGAGCCTCTCCCACCCCTCTGCAAATTGATTCTCCCCCAGATGGGGGTAGCCTGATCTTAAATTATGTATTAATTATATTGATTACTTAAGAATCCCCAGTTATCACTTTGAAGGTTGACAGGTTCTTGCCCCAAGATCAGGCCCAGTATTATTTAAATTATTATATAGTTGGGAACCCCAATGTGCACAGTTGAAACACTCACAATATAGGAACTCTTTTATATTTACAAATATAGTTTATTAATACATTTAGCACAATTCCAAACACCCCAGCTTAGTAAGATAGATAGAGATACTACAGAATGTACATCTGCACCTCCATATACTCACACCATCCCGTGTAGAACAAGCGAAAATGTTAACGTCACCTTCCCCATCATCACCAGTGGCCATAATTCTGGCACAATTCTGCCATAATTCTGGCACAATTCTGGCATAATTCCCAAGGACTACTTCTCTTTCTCCTAAGCTGGGATGCCACTTTTATAATATGTTACGCTGATACTGTTACGTTCAATGCATATTCAGTAGGGGATTTTTCCCTTCTCCTTATTTGTATTTCCTCACCTCACTAATGTTGGAGTGTCTTTTTCCTATAGGTTAGTATATCAATGATCTCAACTTATTATATAAGTCAATTCGTTACCATGGCCCTTTTGTGGTTAGGTATCACATTTGTTATTTCTGTCCTAACTGGTTATTTCAGTTCTTTCCAAGTTCTAAGTTGTGGTGTACCTGTTACGTTTAAAAGGGTATGAACTTAGGAAAGCACCTATGCCAACCTGCTTTAACGCATCCTCTATGTTAAAGGTCACAGTCATACATGGACCTTATGCTTTAGCTCCATTTATCTAGGTAAAAGGTCCCAGACAGACGTAGGCTAACTTTGCCTTAGCTCACCATACAGGATGTGGCCTGCAGGTCCCTTGTGTTACAGCCAAAATATAGCCTAATATAACCCTATTATAATAAAACAAATAATCAAGCCTATAAGAAAATAAGAAACTTATAAGAAAAGGTATGTGTGTGTGTGTGTATATACACACACATACCTTTTCTTATATATAGGCAAGCAAGCAGGCTAGCCTTAAATGTATCTCATGTACCTGTTATGTACGTCAGTTTGTTGCCAGGACACTTCTGTGGTTGAATTATTTACCTGTGGTCAGAACTTTCCCTTAAACTGTATTTTCAGCTCCCCAAATATTAGGGGGCTTTCCATTGGCCTGTTCATCTGTTCAAAGGTCATAGGTCTCAACCCTTATGCTAACTTGCTGAAGCTAATGCCTTACAGGACACAGGCGTGTAGGTTTCTAGCTTTACTGCTGAATATAATGCAAAGCAGAATATAATGAAGGCAAGCTGGCCCACTGGGCTACATGGACAAGCATGAAATGCTGTTTCTTACCCGAGAGGGAACTTCACATTCAATCCTCACTGAGCTGCTGGTGTTGGTATTAATTGGACAAGAGTGAGATCCAAACAATACCTCGCTTATCCCGTCAAAACCAGTCCCTCGGAGGATCACTGAGCACCCTCCTACAAAACCAATGATTTCATTGTAAGTGCAGTGTACAGAAAGTGTTTTAAAATGCATCAACTCCAATAAGGAGCATTTCCTACTGTTTAAAGCATAAGCAGATGGGTCAGAAGATCTGGGTTCTACTCCCAACTTTGCTATTGGCTTTCTGTTGGCCAAGTTACTTAATCTCTTTGCACTTCAGTTTCTCATCCCTCACTTGGGATTCCTCTAGTCTACTATTTGGACTGTTGTCTATGACAGAGAAATGTTTTCATGCCCGACTCGATTAGTCTGGCAAGGCCAGCACTGTGGGTACGTCTACACTACCAGATTGGCGGGTAGTGATCGATCTATCGGAGATCGATGTATCGTGTCTCGTCTAGACATGAAACATTGATCCCCGAACACGCTCCCCTTCGACTCCGGAACTCCACCAGGGCGAGAGGCGGAAGCGGAGTCGACGGGGGAGCGGCGGCCGTTGATCCCGCGCCGCGAGGACGCGAAGTAAGTCGATCTAAGATCCGTCGACTTCAGCTACGCTATTCTCGTAGCTGAAGTTGCATATCTTAGATTGATCCTTCCCCTAGTGTAGATCAGGCCTGTGATCTCAGCCCAGGAAAGATCCCTGACCCCAGTGTGAAACGAGTGACTAAACCAAAGCACCACCAATAAAAATGAGCTTTATGCAGCAGGTGCCTTCACAGCTCAAATATCTGCTGTGAAATAGGCTGAGGCACGTGTCCGTGACACACAGTCTAGAAAAGGAGACACAGCAGGGTTTGAACTACAGTAGGGTGCGAGAAAGAAAGTCACAAGAGGGCTAGATGCTGTGAGCTACTGATTGACCTTAGCTCTCATATAAGCCAATGAGAGTTGGAGGTCTTCAGCATTGCTCAGGATGACACTCAAAGCAAGAGATAGACTTTAGCTGTCTTTACGAGATATTCAATTCCTATCCCAATACCCAGGATCCTGACTCTGGTCTTTCAGTCAACCAGAAGTTTAAGAGACACCTAGAAGTGAAAGGGCAAAGATGAAGCAAACCCTGGGTTAATTGCACGGTGTCCCAACCTTTGCTTTGTTCTTTGATGCAGCTCTCAGACAAATTGATACACATCAAAAAACCCACAGCTGTTCATTCTAGCTAGGAACCCAAGATATTAGAACCTGATTACTCTGAAATTACATCATAACTGACAGTGTGGAAGACTAGTGGTAAAGAGCTTTTGTAACAGCAATGTGTGAGTGCTATCACGGCAGCACATACCATTTAGCTCTTATACAACATTCTTCATCTGTAGAGCTCAAAGCGCTTCACAATGAGGAAGGATGTTTTGGGGGTTAAGGCCCTGGACAGGGACTTGGGAAATCTGGGTCCTGTTCCCGTCTTTGCCACATACTCCCTGTTTGACCTTGGGCAAGTCATTCCATCTCTCCGCCTGAATCCCCTGTCTGTAAAATGGGGATAGTATTACTGCATTTCTCCTACCCTGTGCCTGTCTCATGCAAGGTCTTTAGAGCAGGAATTGTCTTACCATGCGTATATACAGCACCTAGCACAATGGGGTCCTGCTCTCACTTGGGGCCTCTTGGTGATATCATATGCAAATAATGAACAGTAAAAATCAGTGGAGTGGTACTAGATTACTCCAGCAATGATTTGGGCCAGAAAATAGGATGACTGACACATTTTGCCTCTACATTTTTTTCCAGACACCACTTTATTAAAGGCCTTTGCAGGTGGCAAGGAGCTTATCTATGGACAATAACTCCATTTTCTCACTGTTTTACAAACACACCCACTCTTTCCTGAAATTCATTTTAACACACAATGCATACTAACTTTTGGAACTCACTGCCAAAAGATATAAATGATGTCAAGAGCTTAGAATTCAAACAAAAGAGTAGCATGTTGTATGAATAATGAGATCATCCTTAGTTATATGAGATAGGATAACAAAAATTAGAATGGATATAAACCCTCATGTTTCATGGTGTAACTAATAGTGGTGAGGAAGAAACATCTTCTATGGGAAGGCTATGCAATAACTATCTATTACAAGGTTACTTGCACCTTCTTTTGAAGCATGTGTCCCTGGCCATGGTTGAAGACATACCAGCCTAAATGAACCACTGTACTAATACATTTTAAGGCTGGAAGGGATTATTAAAATCATCTAGTCCGAACTGTTAAAGGCCAAGTAACTTCTATAGCAAGCCCATAACTTGTTCGAGCTGGAATATATCTTTAGAAAGACATTCGGTGTTGACAAAGAATGCAAGTGATGTACTAATCTGACCAAATAAAGTAATTTCTACATTCTGTGCCTTGACATGATCTTCCTTCATGGAAGGTACGTTGAATGGAACACCGCTTTGACCCCATTTATGTTGATGCTATTTTCACACGAGGAATCACTGCTGAGTGATATAAGATACTCTGTAGCCTCTCCCTCTAGAAGGCTGAGTTTCCTGTGTTTACAACAGTGGAACACAACTCAAAATTTAAGCCAGGTCTCTCCTGTTGTGTCTGCGGGATAAACAGCCCCAAATCAAGTGTACCCTATTCATGTGTACTTTATATCCATTAATGCACATAAGTTTTGATATCTGCACTGATATCCATATGCAAAATCATGTCTGCATACTTTATGAGAGAATTGGAGAGGCATTTTAATGGAAGAAATTAAAAACACAGATGGAAGCTGTAATTCTTTCCAATTACAAATGTTCAAAGCATGTGTAATGTAGGATAACAATATACTTGCTTTTCTTTTTAATGAGTGAAAGATCGTTGCAATCAGGAGAGGATCTGGATTACGAGGGGTGTAGAGAGGGGAATAAACAATGACAAAGCATTGCACCTACCTCTTTTTTAATGATCTACAGCAGCAATTCCCAACCTTCCCCATACCAGGATCCCATCCATGTAAGAACAGAAACATCTGGGACCCCCACTCCATCTCCGCCCCGCTCACTCCGTCCTCCCCACCCCGGTCACTCGCTCTCCCCCACCCTCACTCACTTTCACCGGGCTGGGGCAAGGGGTTGGCGTTTGGGAGGGGGTACTGGCTCTGGGCTGGGGCCGAGGGGTTTGCAGTGTGGGAGGGGGCTCTGGGCTGAGCCTGGGGCAGGAGGTTGGGTGCAGGAGGGGGCTCTGGGCTGGGGCAGAGTGTTGGGGTGCAGGAGGGGGTATAGGGTGCTGGCTCTGGGACGGTTTCAGGGCTGGGGGTATGGGGTGCTGGCTCCGGGAGGGGTTTGGGGTGCAGGAGGGGGTTTGGGGTGCTGACTCTGGGAGGGGGCTCAGGGATGAGGGTTGGGATGCGGCCTCCCGCCGGGCAGCACTTACCTCCGGCGGCTCCTGGTTGGCAGTGGGCGCAGCGAGGCTAAGGCAGGCTCCCTGCCTACCCCGGCCCCACACTGCTCCCAGAAGGGGCCAACATGCCCCTGCGGCTCCTGTGGGGGCAGGGGGCACGTGGCTCCACGCGCTGCCCCTCTCTGCAAGCACCGCCCCCGCAGCAATCCCGGCCAATCGGAGCTGTGGGGGCAGTGCTTGCAGGCAGGAGCAGCGCGCAGAAGTAGACCCCTGCCTCCCCCGCCCCCGGGGCTGTGGGGCTGCACTGGCCGCTTCTGGGAGCGGTGTGGGACCAGGGTAGGCAGGGGGTCTGCCTTAGCTGCAGCCAAACTGGGCCGCCGGAGATCGCGATCGACGGGTTGTTGACCACTGCTCTAGCTCAACCACAAGTTATGGGCTTGATGCAGGAGTCACCTGTGTTATGCAGGAGGCCAGACTAGATGATCATAATGGTTCCTTCTGGACTTAAACTCTGTGGATAGCTTGGGAATGTTTCTTTTTCAGAAAGAGGAGATAGAAGAGGAAAAAGGAGGGCACTATTTTAAAGGTGAGAGGGAAAATATGGGTTTGGGCTTTGCTTTTTGAGGTTTTTTCACTACATTTTGTAGCTAGCCAGAGACACAGTTTCCATTTGGTCACTCAAAGGACAGAGTGTAGTGATTTATTACACTTCGCGGGCAGCTTTCAAAATGACATGAGAAAATTAGCCATGAAACTCTCACCGCTAACCAGAGCTGTAGCATACACCCATATCCATCCGCACTGCAAGACAGCTAGCCAGGAGCTGTAGCACCCCCAGCGAAGAGCCAGAGCCAGCTGCCACTCTTCCTGAGAAACACTGCCCCTAACCTGGTCACTCCCATGTCGGGTGGAGAGCCCCATACACAAATATTGAAAAAACACCCTATCAAAAGCAATAATGCTAAAGGCAGATATTCAGGTGAGAGCGTCTACTGAATTCAGACATACCAATCTCGGAAGCTGTCGGAGGTTCAATAGCTTCCAGCCTGGGCTTAACTCTCAGGTAGATGCCTTGTCCTTTGCTGGCATTGCGAGCAAAGCCATAAGGTCTCACCAGTAATGTAACCTGGTACAGTCCCATTGGTAACACGTTCATCAAGCAAACTATAGCCGTTTGATTTGAAGTCGTGACTTGGCAGGTTGTGTGGTTCACCTCTATCTGCAGTGCTTGGCTGTCCTCAGCAAAGCCAGACCCTGTGATATAAACTCTGGTGTGGAGTCCATCAGCTGGAAGGATAAAGTAAAACAAAATTACGAATCTGTTGTTAAGTAACGACACCCAAATTTGCTTCCCAAGAACAACAAAGTTGCTTAGGCTAACTGTGCTTAAGCATTTACTGCAGTTTCATCACCCTAGTTATATGAGTGCCTAGCAAAACTATCGTTATCCCAATATAAAAAATCGTTTCCCTCTGCTCCTCCCGAGCCTGTCAGCATTCACCTTTTGTCTCTTCCCTTGTACTTTTATTGTCATCTCATATGGTGCCTAGCACATTGGGATCCTGACCCACGATGGTTCATAGACACTACCACACTACAAACAACAAGAACAGAGGTCTTCTACGTTTACCATTTTCCTCCCTCTCAAGTCTATACCTTCCTCTGGTCTCCACTAAAGCTGGCTGAGTGCTGCAAGACACTATGTGAGAACAGAGCAGAGCAGGAATTTTCCGTCTGAATGTTTTTCTAACGGAAAATGCAGTTCCCACAAAAATCAAATTTTGCCACGGGAAAATTCAACCCAAATTGGAATATTTCATTTCATGAACTGACCCAAAATGTTTCATTTTGAATCTCTTCAACAGGACATTAAGTTGCATTTCCCTAGCAACACATTGCCTCATGGGAATTGTAGTAGTGATTAGAAACAAGATCGTGTGACTTATGTGACCAATCACACACCATGAGTAGTAGATTGGTTGCAACCAATCTATAGGCTGAAATATGTTTGCCTGGACTGTGCATCAAACAGTTATGAACAGCACACACAATTGTCTGTTGTCCGACAAACTGAATAAAGAGGTAACATTTTTCAGATAAATTGTTGGCTATGAATAGTGCACCCATCTCTAGTCCTGATTTTGTGACACTCAGTCCACCTTATATATAATATTCTGGGATAAGAAAGATAAAATAAAATGGCCTCCATCAGTTTAATTCTATTGGACTAGACCCTGGTGTGATTTGACGTAACTCTGTTGACTTCCGTGTAGTTATGCTGATGTACAACAGCTGAAGATCAGGCTTTGTCATAGGGCAATGTGCCTGAGCACACCTCCTTGTGGTCCCGTGTGGTCCTGCAAGTACACAGCCCTCAGCTCTCAGGGTTCAGAAATAAACCACTCACACCCAGAGTCTTTAAACAATAGCCCCCTTCTCCTGGGGTCCAACTTAGTTCAATTAGTTTACCGCAAAAGATCTCCCCTTTAGGTTCAGGGGTCTTCCCAGCCTTGCTGCTTGGGCCGGAGGGGACCACTGTAATCATCTAGTCTGACCTCCTGTACAGTGTAGGCCATAGCACTTCCCCACCACCCTTAAACTCTATACAGTGTTACACCAGTAGTCCCGGGGAGCCCTCATCTCCTGAGAGAAGCAGGGAAGAGCGCGCGCGCATGCATGCACATGCTTGCTCGCTCTCACACACACACACACACACACACACTCTCGGCTTCCTCTGATCCATTTTCCCACTTCCTTGCTGTACTTTTTGTATCATCTGATTAATGGCTTAATTATTAGCATCTTAGTCAATTAGGCACAGCTCCTCATAATGTGGTCTGCTCTGGAGTAATTAATTAGAGCTGCAGTGACCAGAGTACTGGCCCTGCTGCTGTTGCCCAGCCCTCTGTCACAGGCAGCAACAATCAGAACGGTAGCACTGTAAACAACCTTTGCAAAGCTGTACACAATTCCAAAGGCTGTCAGGGATACAGTTAAAAGAGATGGATCCAAACTACAAAATTCAGATCCCAACACAGATTCCCACACACCAAGTTCATGCATTTTCCCCACATAACTAGGGGTTTTTATTTTAGCCCATTGTAGAAATAGGGGCCAGATGCAAAATTCAGATCCAGAACTGGGTACAGATTCCAAACTTTCCTAAGTTCCGGGCTGTTCGGACCCAAGACATTTGGCTTGAGCCCATCTCGAATATCAGAGAGGCCCTTTGGACAGCTCAGTCATCCCATGAAGTGCAAATACCGTTACCTAGTGAATACTCCACATGGCTGACTAAAGGGGTTGCTTCCTGAGAATACTGAAAGGAGCATGAACCAGAGCAGTTAGCTGGGACATCATTCACCACCACCACCACCTGAAGAAATGGAGAAGAATGTTATTCCAAAAGAGGGAAGGGGACCCAGGTTGTTAACAGAGCTCTACAAAATGCTGACAATTAAACCCAGAATCATGCAAAACTTGCCTAGTTTCATTTAAAATTTGGCCCAAGTTTATTGCAAAGTTTTCTAGGGTTCACTGTAGGCAAGCCAGGGCCTATATTGATAACCTCCCTAGGTGCCTGTTGGATCATTTCTCGTTTTTGACTGATAGTCACAGCTCCTCCCAGCTAGACTCATAGACTCATAGACTTTAAGGTCAGAAGGGACCATTATGGTCATCTAGTCTGACCCCCCGCATGATGCAGGCCACAAAAGCTGACCCACCCAATTTCCCTTATCTCAGCTGTTGAAGTCTCCAGATCGTGATTTAAAGACTTCAAGTCGCAGAGAATCCTCCAGCTTGTGACCCCTGCCCTATGCTGCGGAGGAAGGCAAAAAACCTCCAGGGCCTCTGCCAATCTACCCTGGAGGAAAATTCCTTCCCGACCCCAAATATGGCGATCAGTAGAACCCCGAGCATACAGGCAAGATTCTCCAGCCGGACCCACATTTTACCAGCGATGGCACGTTATTGCCTAATTGACTAAAATCACGTTATCCCATCAAACCATTCCCTCCATAAACTTATCTAGCCTAATCAAGTGACAGTTGATTGAATGCTCTGATTTACTCTACACTCATCTCCTACCCCATGTGAGAGACAGTATAAACTGTTGTTACACTCCAAAAAGTACCTTGTGGGGTCCCCTATTTATAACAAATTCCAGATCAAGTCTGATCAGCTTACAGGCCCAAAGGTCTTTTTTTTTAGCTGCTTGTTCTGCAAAGCTCCATTTGGGATCTGAAAACCAAGTTGTGATCTTGCTGCCTCTAGCAGTACTTCACCCCCCCGTGAAAAAGTGTCTGCATTCTGAACTGGACTGGTGAAGCAC